GTCGCTCGTACCGCAGCATTGTAAATTCGTCCTTTGAAAGAGAGACTCAGGTCACGACGAAGCCACAGGCGACCAAGGTAAGCGAAAGTTACTCGAGCCTTGGAGACACGCAGAGAGATCTCATCCGTCAAAACGGCAATATTAAGACAACTCCCAAGGTAAATGAATTTGTTTACCACTTCCAGCGGATGTCCCGAAAGAATCAGAGAACAATATGCGCTGGGCCAGTAATGTAACAGAACCTAACATTTGCTCAACCCAAATGGGCAGGCGAATATCTCCAGTCTAAGCAGCACATGCTGGACGGCTTGGGGGGACTCGCAAATCACAGCGATGGAATGAGTTTCCCAGGACAGTGTGTAGGATCTCGTCCATGGCGAAGTCGAACAATAATGGAAAGGCTAGGCAACCCTATTTAACATCGCTAGCGATACTGAAAGGGGGCGAAATGCATCCACATACTACCACGCGGTCCAAAGTTTAATGGTAAATGGCCTAGAGAATGCTGATGTACTTCGCAGGTACTAAACTCTTCAATAAGCAGTCCCAAAATGCCACTATGTCAACAGAATAGACGCAGATCAAATGACCAACAATATGACTATGGCTAGTCGACAGAGGGTTTGGCGATGTTCAAGCATCTGGCAAGATGTCAAGATGAGGTCAACGCAACTGCGACCCGGGCGGAATCCAGCCTGTTGTTCACGCAGGTGCTATTCGCGTACGCAACTGAGTCTATTCAGCAATGGGGATGAAAGCAGTTTGGATGCGATGGTTGGAGAAAATGGCACGGTCTCCATGTTTGTAAACAGGTACAACATTCGGTACAATCCAATCGGATGGGACGTTTTCAGTAGTCCAACTCTGACGAAGCAGAGATGTCAATACATGAGTGAGAGCAGGATCCCAATATTTGAAGGGCAGGAGGAAGTTCAACTGAACCAGGTGAGTTGTGGCGCATTGATAGGCGAAGCTCCTAGGAAACCTCAGCCTCAGTCGGTGAAGAAACATCCAAACACCAAGGAGCACTGTGAACCCCGGAAGGTGGACTGCATTGTACTAGTGGCCAGATGAACTGATATTCAAAGTGTTCTGCTCATCGAACCAGACAACGGTGGCGACTGTGAATTAGTTCACCATCATTTCCACGCAAAACCTCACACACTGTTGGCCTTCTGCCACTCGCGGAACGAATAAGTTGGAAGAGTCCGCGGGACTTTAATGATGAGGCTGCCCGTTCCATCTCAACTATGTGTTGTATCCAACAAACCTCGCGATCCATACTGAAGAGCTGTCTCAGCTCGACACCTGTAGTTCTGCGTAGTGCGTTGTACTCAACTTCGGCGGGAATTGTTCGACGGCTTTCCGTTAATTGGAGAGACTGTGCGGAGATTCAACGACTAGCGGCTCGTCTAGTGAAGCCATAGATCAGGGTAGTGGACTTTCGTAAAGCGATAAGGATCTGTGCCCAGTGTGTCGCAACATCGGAGGATAGAGAACGCAGGTTGCAGGCCAATATGTTCTGAAACGTTCCGAGAACATTTGGGGCGGCGAAATCGTCTGTGTCAAACCGTTTCTGGCGATGCTGTTGGGAGCCTCCGAAGCGCACGATCCGAAGTCAAGTAAGTGTTCCAAATTGACCTCCAGTACGTTTTGCAGCCTCGCCAACGGTAAATAACAGCGATGCGGTCAATTTGCGCCCAAGTTTATTCAGGCACCGGAGGTCGCCGGATGGCTTGTTGGCGACACGAACGACGGAAATTGATGCTCGTAAGGAACAAACTGTGGTCAGCGCACAGTTAGAAGAGTGGATTGCCTTTGTCCGTCCCGCGAGTACCGTGGCTGTGTTGAACCCCAAGTTCACACCCATAAATCTCCGATCCACCGACCTGCCCATTTAGGTCTCCAGCGAGTACCACGGCGTGCGTGCGGCGTCGCTTGCGGAGCAGGTGGGTAAACTGGCAGTAGAACTCGTCCTTAGCTTCATCCAGGCTGCAGTCCCTAGAAGCGTACGCCGCCACAATGAATAAGCAGCGCCTACTGGTCCAGTGGTTGAATTATCGCACCGAGCTTTCCAAGCGAACCGCACAAAGACGGCAGCTGACCGGGAACCAGTCAATGAGTGCTGCTTCAGCACGCGTGCCAAACGCAACTACTACGCCGGCGCAACCAGACGCTGACGCTGTCGAATCGACAGATAAGCGCTTCATGTACGCCGAAATTTTCTTCTAGTAAGCTTTTACCGCGACAACACATAACCAAACCAACTGTCCTAACGTTGTTCCTCATTTTGTTGGAGGTTTTCATCTCAGAATTTCACAAGCTACATAGTACAGCATAGTACGAAAAGGCAACAGACGCAATTCGCCCTATTGGGGCTCGTCAGCGGTGTGCACTCCCTCGATCTCCTACTGGGGATTTATTTAGTGTCATTCTTACGGTGTGAATCGGAGCAACTAGATCCACCGCACTTCGGCGATCGGATCTTAGTTGTTAAACTGAACCGAGCTGAGACATGCTAATCATGGAAACAACCTCCATCGCCTTGTGTAGCGTTACGGTCACGAGAGCATATCCTTGAAACGACAGGAAACTGAGCTTGGGAAAGGCAAAGAGGACGTACATGCTTATGTGATGGTAGTCGATTTTAGTCCAATAAGGGAAATTAAAGCAATATACGAGATACCAACGTCTGTAGATAAAAGAGGAATTGGCCGCATAAAATCGTCAATGTTTTGAGTCAGCAAGTCAAGAGCTAATCTGACGACAGCCTGGGACTATCCGAAGTAGGTCAAACTGCTAACCTGGTACGACATCTGACAACGACGAAAAGTCATCTGAAGGATATCAGACGCCACAAAGAGGAAGATGAATTGTTGACAACGCTGTGAGAAGTGATCCTGAAGGAATGGTCATGGATTGATCAGCAGCTTCCAAAAAATCCACATACCACTCCAATTGCAGTCTGAACTTAAGTGCAACGATGGCGTGCTTTACAAACGTAGTCTTATCCTTATCACGCTACCGCTCGGAAGAGATCTGCTGAAATACGCCAATCAAGCTCACATGGACGTTAACTATAGCACCAAAGTTAAAGAAAACACTTGTTCTGCTTTGGGATGACAAGCAAGGTGGTCGAGTGTGCACAAAACATGGAAACCAGCGGACAAGGGAACCAATATTGAGCAGGAAATTCCACATCGAGCAACGTTTAAGATTGACATTATTCAAAACACCGTCAGCTAGAGTGGGCTGAACACAACGAGCTGGCAATCGGGTTTCAAACGCCTGGGGATCAAGTAAAATGTCATCGTCAGTGTGAAGCGTCCTGACACCCTCTCTCAGTGAACAAGTTAGTGATGTGAAGTGGCTAACTCCAAGAGGAACGGAAGCCAATGTGGGCGCAAACATGACCATAAACTACCTCACATACTACGCATAACATCATGTGAAATAGAGCGTCAGACGGGAACATGTTGATGAAGCTCATCAGGATAACTACGAGCACATTGGGAACAATGGAAAACATCTGAAACAAATACTCAATTAGAGGCACCGCGTCAATGTGTGTCCTTAATACTTTCCTATGAGAGAAGCATCTGTTCCAATGCTTGCATCTGTGGGGCTGTTTCCCTACAATAGTAAATAAAGCCATGTTAACAAGAGTAAAAGAAGTAAGGAAGGCCAGAACAGAAGCGAAGTGCTCCCGACTCGAGCGCTAACCAGCCTGGTACACTGAGAATTTCAATCTCACAATCAAGTTGGACAAGTTGCGGAAATTAAACCGTTGTTCGGATGTAACTGATGTTTTGGGAACCAACGCAAGCAAACTAGTTCCTTCGTGATTTATGCGCGTGGGGTAAGCAGATTGAGGGCTTATAGCAAGCTGTCGCCGCCCTCCTATGAATATGGTAGTGTGAGATAGGGACACCTACTGTCATCTTTGCTTATTAACTTCTTTACTGACAAAGTTATGGAAACTGCGTTCACCAGACGCAGATTAGATGGAATGCTGAACCCAACTGAGCGACCCATTGATTTGCAATATGCAGACGAGATATGCTTCGTCAACAACAGGTTACTAACACGCCAAGTGGAACAGGACAAATAAACACTAGCTGTCAGTCGTGTAGTGCATCTCTATTCAACCCTTGACAAATGCAAACCACTTCTCCAACATTGTCAGTGACCGCCCCCTGCAGCTGATAAGCCAGAAATCGTTTAGATATTCAACAACATTCGCAGCTGTTTCGGGGCAGGTGGAAACGGAGATGAGATCACAAAACGTGTAGCCAAAGCTCGAGCCGAATCTGCCAAGCTTCACCCCCATGTGGCGTAGCTATGACGTTACTCTCGCACTGAAGGTTAGAGTGTACAGTTCAACCCTACTGTACGGTTGGGAAACTTGGCCCATAATATCGACAAACGTGAAGAACCTAGTTGCGTTCGACCAACGGTGCCTTCGCAGCCTAGCATCCATCTGACAGAAACAGCGTGTGAGCTATGAGCGTCCTCAGCGTCATATTTATGGTGCAGTAAGAGCTTGATAAACATAATAAAACATGGATGAAGCTACGCCAGCGAGCTTGCTATCCGATGTTGCAATGTTGCAATCCACCTGTGCAAGTTGACATAATGTGCCAGCCAGATATGCGAAGCACGAGAAGCTCAGCAGCATTAAAACTCACGATCGAAAAACCCCTCTGACATAGAAGCCTGACAGAAACTACAGATAACTGCATTATGCGAAGCCTCGTATCGTCATCGCCACAGTACAATCAGCTGACTCCCATAACTCATTTGATGTAGCTGTGAGACCAAAGTGACCACCACAAACGGCCGACCACCACCGTCCAATGTGCTTTTCGCCAAACGCGACAAACCCATGGAATAAACACCGAGCTAAAAGTATTTGTTAATTACAGACAACATCAGATCAAATTTCCAAGACTCCCAGTGCGTTATTGGTAGGAATGACAGAAGGCGGGGGTAGAACTTACTCAGGTGAACAATGTCTACGTGTGTCCGAAGGTTGCAGTTTAGAGAAAAGGATTTTCCACAGTGTTCGCATATGTGATCTCGCTGCTCTGGAACAAAAACGACAGGACGTTCACAATGATGTATAACATTCAGGACGGACTCATTTCATGGCATTTCGAAGCTGGTTGGTTATTTGTGGGGCGAAATTCTGTCTGAAAATCTCCTGCTCTCATGCATTAACCTATGCATTACATGAAAGCACTGACTGAAAATCAACTAGGCTCCGCTGTTGGATACCTAAATGTACGCTTGTCTACCACTAAAACTAAATGCCCAGCGAATTCCCGGAAGATTCATATAGATAGACAACAATCTCGCAGTCCGCCGAGTGTAACACATACAGTATGTAGGTATAAAGCGACCTCATGATCAGACTGTAAACTGGAGTCAACAGTGATCACAGATGATTTAAGGAGTCACAATAGGAACTGGAACATGGTGGGTGCAAATGACAACCAAATTTGATGATACGGGCAAAACAACAATGGTTGGCGGCATCCGGTTTCGGATTTGCCTGTCACTGTGGCAAGCCACAGGACGCCTGCGCCTACAGAGGGACCATGGATGGCTTGCGCTGCACCACCCACAGCTCCAACCACATACCCCATATCCAGTGTAAACCCGAAGGAATAAGACCGGGAGGCAGGTGGATGGGAGCCACGTTTCATCAACGGAGCCGGCCCACACTCCTTCACAGGCAAACACAAGCACGCTGTATTTGGGAAATCAAGCACACACAAGGCGGTGGCTGGACCGTAGTCCGCTCCACACTGAGTGCATGGAACCACTCTTCGAGATTAGCACGACCACAAGGACTGTGCACCCCGTCCCCTCTAGCAAAGACGAACTGTCTCCTGGAGCCAGTATGAACGATGTAGTGGGTAATAGACAGGTAGGCACCTTGTCAACATACACATCAAGCGCAACCATACCAGGGATATCAAACAACAGCCATTCACTTTAAACGACAAGCTGAAATTAAATAAATCCAATAATGCATACAGATACGGTGGCATAACTCTTCGCTAAATTACCATATGAAGTAAGTTGGTTAGCAACAAATCCGTGATAAGTAAGAAATGTCCACAAGTTACTTAAAATGCTACAAACGCAACAAAATTACCGAAGATAAGCGCAATTAGTGTAAGCAACGTGGCCAGTTAATAGAACATTATTCAGGGAGGCAGAACAAACCAAATAAAGCGGAATGAAATTTAGCCAGCTTAAAAAGACCTAGTTTAAGTGTACGTTGGTTTAGCCCAACTGCGGTGAAGAAGCATCAAGAATGCAACATCAGTCTCAGCATGGGGCACACATACATACATGGTTGGCGGCATCCGGTTTCGGATTTGCCTGTCACTGTGGCAAGCCGCAGGACGCCTGCGCCTACAGAGGGACCATGGATACGGGCAAAACAACAATGAATAATATATTAATCAGATAGGATTACCCAAAAAGTATTAACACAAGGAAGTAAACCGAGCAAATTTCTGATTTCGTGAGGATTTAAAACACACAACGGTTTTGCACAAGTTACGGTTACCTCTCAATCTTGACACAATAGCTGTTTCAGGTAAGCAGTTCAGATTGTCAAGTTTGGCAGGGACGATGCAGTTTGTGATCGGAGCGGACATCGCTGTACTACGGCCACCCAAGCTGCCGAAAGTGCAACTCAAACACCCAGAAAAACACAACTGTGAACACTGGAAATACGCAGAGACTGAGACTGTATTTAAGAGCAAGTAGAAAGGTTTCTGTACAACTCTATCGAATTACGAAAAAGCAAAATTTACTTGTGAATTATCAGCAGTTGTGTCTGGTCCGTTAATCGTTTATCCTTGTTCGGTTAGAAATTTGTACTGGTGTCATTATTTCCGGGCATACAATGTCTTCTTTTGGCACTGTATGTGCATCGTTTCACAAAAGCACAGGTTTCCAAAATAATCGTCGATACGGGTTTTAAAACACTTCACAGACTCGGCCTCTATTAATCCTTCAGGTAGTGTATTCCAAAAGTTTACGATTCTTAGTTCGATACAAAGCTGATGTGATACTTTGTTCATGCTGGATGCCCTAAGTTTGTAACGGTGTCCTCGGGTGTTACAGGGTTCCCGCAGGTGAAATATTGGCCTCAGTATGGGGAAGTGATTCAAGGGTAGTACTCGATGGGTCATAATAAGGTCAATTCTTACTCGGCGATAGGATAGTGTGTAGAGTCCGAGCTTGCTGTTATCAGCCGTCGATGGCATAAACCTCCGAACCGATGAACTCGCTGGATATTTGGGTCACTCCAACGTTTGACAGGACGAACGAGTACATTCGTGAAGAACTCTTATGTATCCATCCAAAAGATAGCAAGTCTCACAACCGAACCAGATGAGTTGATGGTAAGCTTCGATGTGGCTTCACTTTTACCAATATATCGAAAGGAGAGGCGATAAGGATGGCTAAATGTTGTCCAAATGAGGCTACCACACTAAGTGACCGAAGGAAGCCACGCGAAGAAAAGAGGAGAACTGTCGATAGAAATCGTCTTTGATACCTTCTGAACTGTATTCTGTAACGTCATCAACTGGGACGATGAAAATGCACCTTGTCTTCAGACACTGCTTATTAAGTCTAGCAGAGATTCGAAGTCGAACCGCACACACGTTGCAATACACTAGCATGCAGTCGAGCAAATTACCTACAACAAGTTTGCGGAGGGCGATACGCACACCGTAGATAACTTGAGTCACTGACTCAGTATTAGGCAGTCGAAGATATGTCACGATGCTGTTATCTCGTAAGCGTGTTTCGGAAACACTACATATCAATACTAAGAGAGTGAAGACTGAAAGTCAGTGCTGCCTGTTGGCCAATCTGACAAGTGCGGCGATTAAAAGAACCAATGTGAAAAGAAAGTTTGGGTTGAAGGAACAGTCATCAGCGACGAACGATTTTGAATATCTTGCACTAGTAAGAGACTCGGCCGTGTATGTGCATGCATTAGACTTGCATAACGTGGAGATCATTAAGAGCGTATACAAGCAACGCCTCAAACGTTGATTGCGGAGGCGTTGGAAAGGACAAAATCGGAGAGTGGTGGGAATGGAGTAGACCGGATAAGACTCCCAAGTGCGCGGCGAGCGATCTAAGTCCGGGAAGTCTAACGAATGACGATGGGCAGATCAGGTTGGAAAGCGCAACTCAACTTTATATTATCACGACTATGGGTCTATCTGCACAATGGAGCTCGTGGACTAGGAATACCGTGATTGAACAACTTGAGATGACATCCCGAACTGCGACCGAAATAACCTTTCTGCTCATGTCCCAGCTATCGCGAGTATCGTCCCTGTGCGCTGGAATTTACAGCTCAAATTGCATTTTGATTCAGCTGGACGGATGAAGTGTGGGTGTCAAAAGCGAAACGTTGCCCAACAAATACACCAAGTAATTGTTTCCAAGCCTCTGAGGTCATGATTTCTAAATTGGTTCTATCAACCAAGCAATCGAAGCGAGGAGTGAGTAGTTCCCCAAACAACTATGGTTCGGTTTGACTTCTAGGCGCAGTACATCTTACTGAACCAGTGCAATGTTATTGAAAACGGACGTCAACTGAGCTCTTAATCCAATTACAGTTTCCGACAAAATTGTGACGTAATCAGAACAGAGTCGAGGCGAAAGTAGTGAGGCAACTTTAGCGAGCACATATCTGAAGTCGCCTGCAGCTACCAACACCTCTACAGCATGACAATTAAAATACAAATGGCTTGCAAGCTAACCATGAGACCACTGGGAAAAGATTGTACAAGTGGCTTTGCACCGGCAACCTCCACCTGTTGAGTTCGGACAAGGACGAAACCAATCGGAATAGCTGAGGCCATCTTTAAAGTGGATAGAGGTGCAAATAGAGATGAGGTGCACCAATTGGAACACATGAGGCACACTACAAAATCCAACTATGAATTCTAAAACACAGCACGATCACAGCGGCCTAATGAACAAAGTGCAGCCGTCCAATATTACAGCACGAGTTCCATATCAAATTCAGGTTAGCTCAAGGTAGCGACTCTAAAGCAGGAAGGAACCGGTAGTGGGGTGTAAGCGCTAGAAGCAAACATCATAGGAAAATCTAAGAGAGAATTTGCCGTCGTGGTCCGATTAATTTGAGTACACAAAATGTCAAACCTAGGCGAACTACACGGCAACAAGTACAACGAAGGTCACCAGAAATCTCCTAAACCAAGCAGGATACACCAAACGTGATGGGCCGGGTTAACGGTATACAACTTCCTGGTTGAAAATCGGGACAAAGAGCGTCATAAAACGGAAACAATCATGCTGAGTTGGTAACATCTATCACCAAGAGACATGAGTATCAGAGCGAACGCACCAGCAACATCGTCGGATATCTAACAAACTTCCAACAGCGCATTACACGGCACTAAGCCGCCGGCCAATTATCCTGTGAATTGTTGAGCTCGCTGCAGGCGAGAATACGACTGGATAAAATCGAACCAATCGGAATGAAACAAGTAGTTCCCTTAATAATTCCGAACAAAAGAAGCAAAAAACGTAGTTTGTGAGATCACGACACTAGTTCTTGCATGCTTATCAGTCACATGCAGCAATTATGGAAAAATAGACAAACACAATGTCTTATGACATAATAAATAGCCATGCGTTTAGGTTACAGAAATAGGCTTAAAGTCAAAGCCAGGTGTGAAGCAACGGTATCAAAAGAAGCCGAATCTGACAGATTCGGTAAGTGAACAAAGGATGCACAGAAGTCACCCTATGCGTTGTCCGTGAAAGCAGTTGAGTCTTCCTGAAGGTAAAACCAGCTTCAGCTTTTTCTGTCTTACCTATGCAGGATAAACTCGCAACGTGAGGATGCAGAGTGGTGTAACCTACAAAATGTTAACAGAGAGTGCTCCAACGTCCATTCGATCCGGCGATAACACTACTAGAGACTCCAGATGACGAAGCGAAGTTTCTATTCTCTGACTAGACTCCAATTACTGCACCCCACAACGACGAAAACTCGTGGGAGGCCGAATGT